CCACAGCTGACTTGATTGATAATGCATATTTATATGAAGCAAAGAGTTCAGCATCTGAAGCAACCACCTTTTCTTATGCTGAGAGTTGCTGCCTCTTGTCTTATTCCATGTGCATATCAGTACTTTGAGGAAGGTTATTTACTAATCACTTCTCCTTTAGTAGTCTTATTCTGATAAATCAAACCTACCAAAAATTCTCTTTTAGAATGTATATTTACAATCAATTTTTGTTCTCATTCATTTCTTTCGACACTTTTTAAGACATCACCAGGGGCAATATAACTAGCACAATTTAGTTTCATATTTTTTTACTTATAATACATTGAACAAAAAATTGAAGCTTAAATCATAATCTCTTCCAATGTTTGCACTATTCTTTCAAACTGGTTTTAAAAGTTTGTTTTGGCTGCAATGTCAAAGCATTTTCATGACAATGCATCCTTCTTCTAGTTCTTATATTTTCCTAATGAAAACTTTGGCCTCCCTTTTGTCTTCTTACTTTTACGATTGTTTGGGGTCATGAATAATGATGATTAGACATGCTACTAGATATCCATAATCCTTTCACAATTTTGCCAGATATATAGAGGATATAAAATATTTGTCCTTGATCACATTACTTGAGTCATATGCCATCTTATTTTTAATATCTGACAATTCATGCCTGTAATATAAATCTGTAGTGAAAATTGCTATAGGGTTGCATTGTGCATCAGGAGTTTAAGTCCTAGAGCAATTATTAGGTAGTCTTGGAATGCCACATCATTCACACACAATCCCATAAAAATATATCAACTCAAAGTAGGTAATCCTACAGGTCGCAATTTTAATTTATATTGTTTTAATGATTTCTTTTAACAAAATTATTAGTTCTCATATTTTACTTTGCATGCCTCTTAAATCCCCCCGGTCATGCTTCGTCATCCATGTCTCTTGTTTCCATTTTTCCTTTGTTTTTTATCTCTCCTCTTTCTGCTTCATCTATGTCCTCTTCTTCAAGACACAACTTACTTCTCAGTTCTCACACTCTCTCTCCCTGAATAAAAGTATTTTAGGCTGAGGTAGAACTGGATGCCTTAGACCTAATATTTGTTGTGAAAGATCCTGATTGGTATTCTGCTAGCATGAATACCAGTGGATTTGATTTTGGAACTTCTATGAAGGGAATGTTGGTGGAGATTAGTCATACTCCCAGGAATCTCAATGGACTTGCTAACTTCCTAGCTGAACGGGGTGTAAGAGGTGCAAGTACATTCAGTGTTTTGGATGAAGCTCCTCCTATCATATGAGTGAGATCATGACCGTTGTAAAGGGCCATGGTCCTACATGATGATCAAAGGAGACAGAAATTGAGGGATACCTGGGAAATTAGGAGAGGAAATATGAGAACTGTAGAGTTTTTAGAAATAATTATTAAAATAGTATACAACAACAACAACAACAAGCCTTTATCCCATTAGGTGGGGTCGGCTACATGGATTGCAAGACGCCATTGTGCTCTATCATTTATCAAGCTTTTAGAAATATTATTAATTAAGAGATCACGTTCAACAACTTCCAAGAGTGTTCTCTTAGTCCTTCCTCTACCTCTCTTAATCGGACTCAAAGTTATATGTTCCACTCTTCTTACCGGTGCCTCCCTTGGTCTTCTTTGTACATGCCCAAACCATCTCAACCGATTTTCTACCATTTTTTCCTCAATAGGTGCCACCCTCACTTTTTCACGTATGTGCTCATTTCGAATTTTATCTTTACGTGTATGTCCGCACATCCATCGTAACATTCTCATCTCTGCTACTCCAACTTTATGCTCTTGCTGTCCCGTTAGAGCCCAGCATTCACTACTATATAACATTGCCGGTCTGATAGCAGTACGATAAAACTTTCCTTTAAGTTTATTAGGCACCTTACGGTCACAAATAACTCCTTTAGCTTTTCTCCAATTAAACCACCCAGCTTGAATTCTATGTGAAATATCTCCACTGATTTCGCCATCATTTTGAATAATGGCTCCCAAATATCTAAACTTTTTCACTTGAGGTATAATTTGATCTCCCAATTTCACTTCCAAATTATTTTCGAATAGTCCTTTACCAAATTTACAATATAAATATTCCGTCTTACTTCTACTCAGACGAAAACCTTTCGACTCCAATGTCCTCCTCCATAACTCAAGTTTGCAATTAACCTCTTCTCTTGTCTCTGCTATAAGAACTATATCATCCGCGAAGAGCATACATTTCGGGATTTCCTCTTGAATATGTTCCGTCAAAACATTTAAAATCAAGTTGAATAAATAAGGACTCAGAGATGATCCCTGATGTAGTCCAATCTTTATAGGAAAATCCTTTGTTTGACCACTAGGCGTTCTTATACTAGTTTTTACCCCCTCATACATATCTTGTATAGCTTTAATATAAGCAATCCGTACTCCCTTTTTTTCCAACGCTTTCCAAAGCACTTCTCTTGGTATACGGTCATAAGCTTTTTCCAAATCAATAAAAACCATGTGTAGATCTTTATCTTTACAACGATACTTTTCCATTAATCCCCTTAGTAGATAAATCGCCTCTGTAGTTGATCTACCTGCATAAAACCAAATTGATTCTCAGAAATACTTGTCTCCAATCTCAACCTGTGCTCAATTACTTTCTCCCACAATTTCATTGTGTGGCTCATGAGTTTAATCCCTCTATAGTTAGTACAATTCTGAATATCTCCTTTATTTTTATAAATAGGAATTAATGTACTTCTCCTCCACTCATCAGGCATTTTCTTGGACTGTAAAATTACATTAAATAACTTAGTTAACCATCTCACCCCTTCTTCACCTAAACATTTCCATGCTTCGATAGATATACAATCAGGTCCGTTGGCTCTACCATTTGCCATTTTCTTAAGAGCTTCCTTTACCTCCTTATCACGTATTTTTCGATAGAATGACAAATTTTGTTCTCCTTCACCAGTTACTAAATCCTCCAAGTTACTAGATGAATCCTCTCCATCATTGAAAAGTTTAGAAAAATAAGCCTCCCATCTATTTTTAATTTCATCATCTGTAACTAAAATTCTTCCCTCTTCATCCTTAATACACCTTACCTGTTCTAGATTTCTTGATTTTCTTTCCCTACTCTTGGCAATCTTATAAATATTTTGCTCTCCTTCCTTCGTCTCAAGGTTCTTATAAAATTCTTCAAAAGCTTTAGAACGAGCTTCACCCACAGCTCTCTTAGTTTCCTTCTTAGCCATACGGTACCTCTCCCAATTTTCCTCATTATTACACAAATATATGGCTTTAAAACAGTTCTTCTTATACTTGATCTTGTCCTGTACACTATTATTCCACCACCAAGACTCCTTATCTCTCGGACCAGAACCTTTCGATTCTCCCAAAACTACTTTTGCAACCTCCCGTATTTTTTTAGCCATATCCTCCCATATGATGTTAGCACTTCCTTGAGAATCCCAAATTCCTTTATCCAAAAGATTTCGCTTGAAAATATCTTGCTTCTCACTTTTTAATTGCCACCATCTAATCCTTGGCGTTACTACTTGTCGACGTTTTTGGATTTTACTCATAATACACACATCAAGGACTAGGACCTTATGTTGTGTCGTTACAGCATCTCCGGGGATCACCTTATAATTTTTACAAAGTTTTTTATCTGTGTTCCTAACCAAAAGAAAATCAATCTGCGACCTTGAGGCTCCACTTTTGTAAGTGATGAGATGCTCATCTCTCTTCTTGAAACAAGTGTTGGCAATCTTAAAATCATATGCCAATGAGAAATCAAGAAGAGTTTGTCCTTCATTGTTTAGCTCTCCAAAACCAAAACCACCATGCACCCTCGCATACTGACCAGCTTCCCTCCCGACATGCCCATTAAAGTCTCCTCCAATAAAAATCTTTTCACTCTGTGGTATGTGTCGAATCAACCCCTCCAGATCCTCCCAAAATAATTCCTTAAGACTGGCTTCTGTCTCGACTTGCGGCGCATAAGCGCTAACAATATTAACAATCTCACGTCCAATTATCATTTTTAAAGAAAAAATTCTGTCTCCAATTCTGCTAACTTTTACAACGTTCTTCTTCCACTCCTTATCTATAATGATGCCTACTCTATTGCGTGCACTTACTTTTCCTGTATACCAAAGTTTGAAACCTTGAATATCCTTAGCTTCTTCTCCATGCCATTTTGTTTCTTGCAAGCAAAGGATATTGATTTTCCTTTGAATCATAACCCCTACAACCTCTACAGATTTACAATTTAATGTCCCAACATTCCAAGTACCAAATCTAATTTTGCTCTTATGGACTAACTTCTTTAGCCGCGTGCGTCCAGAATGACGCGGTAGCCCTTGCTCATTTAACACTACATCCGGGTGCTGATGCAGCGGCTCTAACTCACTTATCACTGTACTCGAGCCATGCAGCGCGTTACTTACGGGCAACGACCTAGCATTAACATTATAACGTCTATTATGTTTATGATAGATTCAACAAATTTTTACATTGGCTGTTGATGGCCTAACACAACCCTCCTCCTTTACCCAGGCTTGGGACCGGCTATAAACATAGGCAGAGTTAATTATTAAAATAGTATAAATTAAAATATTGACATGCAGGCCAACACATATGATTCAAGTTATTGTGTTGATATATTGTTATTGGACAGTTTAATAATGACATGGTACTTTGAAAGTACCTAATAATTTCTCTAAATCCAAATTGAAGATAGTAAGAGAAAGGTCCCATAAAAAGAATCTATATATTGTATTCTTCTTTCATAAACGTCTCATCAACCATGTGATTTGTTTCTTTCCCTTTTTCTAGTATGTTTTAAAGTCTTGCCAAGAGGAGCAGGATATAGAACTTGCAAAGTTCATAAAGATAATAAAACTTTTGACAAAGTTCAGCTAAAAGAATTAATTGTCTAACACTACATACTCTGCCAACTGCCAGGCTCATTTCTTATTCTGTAACACAAGCTGTAGAGATAGGAAGCTTATTTTTAACTAGCACTTTGCCAGATTTGGAAAGAACCTCATATTAAATGAATAGAGATGCAGAATGGAACAAACACACTAGCATTCAGAGGAGGGAACATGACCATAAATATCATTTTATAAAACAAGCATGCTAAACGTTTAGTATTAACAGGATAGAAAATCTTTTGTAGAAACAAGGGAGAGCTACCCTGTTGAAGAGATATTGAAAGTAATCAAAGTATATGCCGATGAAGAATATATCTTAGGTCTCTCAAAATGAAACAGAAACTTCATAAAACCCTGTCTATCTCCCCTCAAAATTTGAGATAGTTACTTTATTGATGGAACATAATTCATCATTGTTTAGAGTTTGATCTGCTGCATGAGACATGGTTTGCCTGAGGATGAATGCAGGTTGTTTTGGGGGAGGAATATCCATGATCTCACAATGAAGCATTGACATTACAGAGGCCATAGTGGGTCTATCTTTTGCAAGTTCTTGCACACACAAAAGCCCAATATGTATGCACTGCAATATGTCCTTGTGAAAGCTTGGATCATATATTTGTGGATCTATTAGAGGCATAACATTGTCATCCACCCATAATTTCCATGCCTAGAAACATGAACAAGTAAAAATGATAGTTGTTAAACTTGAATGTTATATTCATTAGGGGAAGGACAATTTAAAGCTTTTGCAAGAAAGGAAGGTGCAAATTAGAGAGGCTTACAAATCCTAAAAGTGTGAAATATCCTGCATCTTCATAAAAGCTAGTGTTTTTTCGTCCGCTAATAATCTCTAACAGTAAAACACCAAAGTTAAAAAGATCAGATTTCTCCGAATAGAGTCCTTCTGTTGCATATTCTGGAGAAATATAGCCACTGCATTTATAAACTACATCTTTGAGCTCTCAATATGCTACAAATGTAATTATCTTGGACAAAGGAAAAGGGCCACTTACTATGTGCCAACAATTCTTTTTGTAGTTGCTTGATTTTCATTACCTCCAAAAAGTTTAGCCATCCCAAAATCTGATATCTTTGGATTCATTTCTTCATCCAATAATATGTTACTTGCTTTCAAATCTCTATGTATAATTCGTAATCTTGAATCTCTATGAAGATAGAGCAATCCTCTAGCTATTCCCTCATTATGGTGAAGCGCTTTCCCCAATCTAAGCATTTTTGTTGCAATGGATCTGCAAAAGATCATTTTAGTAAGAAGTGATGAAAGTAGATGTTCATAAGCAGACGCTTTACTCAGTTCCTGCATTATGATTGCGACTTAATTACTTGTACCTTAACTATTACTGTAAATAAACCACTTCAATTGTTCATAGACTCCATTGATCTTGCACATGAAGAGATGCAAAACCTCATATGTACTTATAAATTAGGAAGCATTGCTACAAATGTCCACAAAGTGGTAGCAAGGTAAAGTAAAAGTTGAAGTACCATACTTTTATTTCTTTAAGTATTCTTAGACAATCAAGTTTTCCTTTTCTCCTCTATTCATCTTATGCAAAGCATAGAAACATCCATTTAGTAAACTGTGATATGCGTGGAAGATTGGCACTAACCAAAGATGTATCTATCCAAACTTTTTTTTGGCATGTATTCATAACCAATATCTCTTCTCCTTCAATGCAACATCCAATAAGTCTAACAAGGTTTCGGTGTTGGAGCTTTGAAATCAACTCCACTTCATTAATAAATTCTTCCATACCCTGTCCAGATGATCTTGAAAGTCTTTTTACTGCAATTTCCTGTCCATTTCCCAACTTTCCCTACAACAAAATTGGAAAAAAACGCTGATTTCTTAGGAATTGAAAGATAACAAACTTAAAGGGGAAAAATAATGAAAATCACCTTGTAAACTGGAACAAAACCACCCTGCCCAAGCTTGTTTGCTAGGTCAAATTTGTTTGTTGCAGTTGCCAACTCTCTAAAATCACAATGATAGCTCTTGAATTTTGACTTGCTTCAAGTTCGTAATCCTCCCTTTGTTGTGAATTTGCATATGCTTTTCCCCTGTGATTTAACAATCTTTGTCCATATAATTTCATTGAAGAACATCTTGTTATTCTAATACCAGATTACTACAGATGAGTTAACCATATGAAGTTCTCATATAATCCGTATCAAAATGATGAAACTCAATTGTTCAATAGATTGTCTAACTAAGATTACAAAGTTTCGCTGTGTCCTTTCTAAATGAGAAATTAATCTCTCTCCATCTCCTTCTCTCTCTTTCTCTCTCTCTCTATATATATATACAGGGAGGGAAAGAGAGAGAGAGAGAAGGGAGAAATCAGTTATTACATGTAAGTTAACAATTTCTTTGTAATTTCTGCCCTGACATTATTATTAAATTTTGTGATACAATTATGTTTTCAGTGACTTGTTTCTTTTCTATTCATATGTTCTTATATTTCTTATATTTATGTCAAGCAAATGCTTAAAAATTGGAAACAAAATCGTTGATCCTTGATTGACATCTTGCACTAAAACTGAAAATCACCTTTTTGCCTTGACCATTTTATCCATAAGAAATATCCAGATGCTGCAATGAGAATTGTTCCTATCAAAACTGATATTAGAATAGGTGTTGTCATTTTCCATCTGCCTGTACCTGTATCAAAAGAAAAGCACTTTTAGATAGCCTTATACTATTGTTATAAAGTATGCATAGCTTAGCAGTGCCATAGTTCACACAGATATATGACGTGATGATAATATGTAGATAGTCATATGACAAGATAATGCTTAAATTTAAATGACATTTTAGCTTTGTATCAAATCCTATTTAGAATGTCAAATACATGTTGGACAGAAAACAAGTGCATTCTTTGGTGTTTCAGAGAGCTTTCTCTAATTAAAAAAGGTACCAAGTTCTGAGTTGGCTAAACGAATGTAAAGATCAACCCCTCGATCTGAGAAGCTCTGTATGTCTAGTAAATCTACATTCCAAGTCATACAACCAAGGCTTCTGTCTTGGGCATAAGCTTTACAAGAGCAATTCATCAAGCATGGAGTTCGGCAATCTATTATATTATCAACACTGTCAAAATAAAACCTCTGCATTATCTGGCAGTTTAACCCTGTCTAACTGCAGAAATCCATCTGTTTTGCTACTTTAGAACCATTATTGTTTTTCTCACATTGAAGTGCTTGCCTTCTCACGCACCCACTGGTCCAGTTCTGCATTTCCCATTCTTCTTTGTTCTTTGGTTCAAACCCTTTCAAGCAACTGCAGATTGGGGAGCCCTGCAAATTGCAGATCCCAAATGGACCACATTTTCCATAAACATCACACTCAGAATTCACACTCGTCCATGTAAGATCCCATATATTTGTCTCGGGGTCCCAAGTCCATTGTTGTAATATTACCTTGAGGATCTAGCATAAAAGTTGTCGAGAAATCTGGGAAATCGAAAGATAGGTTGAAATTCCTTTCCACTTCTTTCATCTGAAACCCTCTTTCAAAGACAGATGAAATCATCCCAGGTATCCCAAGGAAGTCGGTGCCGTCCCAAGGGCCACTCCTCCAGTAAGGACGATTTCCTTTCCCACACAAACACTTCAGTGACATGATGAGGTTCAAGACTGCCAGAAAATTCCCCATGGGACGGATCCGATGAACTTTTCCATGATGTAAAATTCACTCTACCTGTATTTGATTAGTACTAAGTTTCATGCCTTGTAGTAATGTGTTGTCTGGGTGCTGGAAACTTTCCCACATGAATGCTCCAGTAGTTCTATTTACGAGGACAAGGTTGCCAGAATCTAAGAGTTGAGCACTGGAATTTGCTGCAATATGTGAGACATTTGTTGACCAAATAACTTCCTTTTCTCCATTCAAAACAAGAAGATTTCCATCCTTTGATATTGTGAGAATCCCAGAAGAATCTGTTAATGGGTGTTTCTGTTAGCTACCCAAAACAACATGGGAATTAGACATAAGCCAATTCCCACGTAACGATTAGTGGAGTTCTGAGGATTGAAGAATCCCAGTGTGAACATGTTATTACTTGAGCGTACTGTTTCAGGTTCTTGGATTAATTGAGATGGTGTGATGGTGTCGAATGCACAGAGCAGAACACTGTAAGAGAACAAATGTATGAGTAAAGCAAGTGACAAGCAAGCATTTTTCTGAATCCCGTAATAAACATCCTGATTATCAGAAACAGAGCCAGAAAATGGCTGTGGAATGCTGTCAACGATTA